CGTTCCGTTTTTTTAATGGTGATTTATACGGAGTTTTAGGCTTAGTTTTGTTCCATTTGTTGTTGTTTCCGTATACCCTGTAATCAGAGAATGGTTAAAGAGAGAGATAGACAATGACAGAGGTATAGTAAATATCTGAATAGGTGTGCAAAATATAGAAGAAGTTTTAACTCGGAGAACTTAACTGTTTGCAGAAAAAATATATAGAAAACAGATGAAGAATAGATTCTTAATATAAGTAAAAACTTAATTTGGAATAAATAATCTTAAGCATACTTTGTTCTCTTCTTACTACTCATTTCAGACCTAATTTGGAATTAGAAATACTTAACTAAAAATCATAATTCACAATTTTTGATTTCTCAAAATTTTTCCATTTTTTGCCAGTGCATTTTAGAACATTCCGTTTCAGTTTTTATTTATTTTTTACATGTTTAAATTTCTACTCCATCTCTACCTGTTTATACTGAAAACTCTCTTGCGATCTGGTAATCAAAACAATGGCTATTTTTAGCTGATAACAGAGCATCTGCTAGTCGATTAAGCCACACTGTCCTCATTGATTTAGCTGCATTTCTTTTTGAGGGGGGGAGGTGGTCTTGGCGCTTTTTTATGGCACTCGCACGCCCATCAAAATTGACAAATGGCCAGAACGGAAAGTCGATGGTCCGCAGTTGGCTGGAACCCATTAACCAGAGTTGAGGCGGCTAACGTGTTACATATTAATTGCACATTATTTATCGGTGGCATTACGATACGACTAGATACGACAATTTAGGCTGCATTCGATTCGTTTTCGTTTTCGATTTCGATTTCAAACTAAATTAGACACAATCGAATCAATTTCAAAGCTCATTAAATTTCAACGCTACAGCAATCACTAAAAACAAAAAACGAAAGAAAAAAACCAAATTAAACTGAAACCAGACAATATATATATATTACAAGTTCAACTATATATAGTAAGTATATAAATTACAAGTTCAAGTCTCTATTTAATCTGAAGAGCAGACGCTGCTCTTGGTTTGGCTTCCTCTGAGCACAATTGCAGTCTGCCCATCAAATTGATATATTTATCAAACTCAGGCTGAGGGTTAAGGTCCTGCAAATAATCATAAGTTACGAAATTGTTTTGACGCTTTTCCGGCACTTTTCTTTTTGGGGGTTGTTGCGCTGCAAAAGTCCAGCATTTTAGTTGATCCAAGAAATACAATTATCTATTCTTTTAATACACTAAACACATTAAAAATGCGAGGAAGGGTTTAAGGCAATTGTGTAAAATTATTTCACAAGTTGAAGAAAGTATAAATTATATATATTCTTGTTCAACATTCGAGTCTGTCTGTCTAAGAGCTAAAGACTTTGATTTATAAGTTCTCGCTCTCCACACGGATATCGAAATGCTTTGATTGCATCGATAACTGCACACATTTCACGAATATCGATCAATATCGATTTTCGACAGCAATAAAAGACAACCAGCAATGTCAGCAAGTCAACAATGCTTTTTATAGGGTAACTTTTGTGTTTACTTTATAACAATTGTTGGCCAAGGTTCCTTTTCCTGTACATAAAGTGTAAGATTCCCGTAAAGGTTTCCCTACGTCAATTGTAGGGTTTCCTGTAAAGGAACAGGTAATAATATCGATAACAATATCGGTTTCTATAATTCTAACTTAAAAATATATACATTTCTAAGTTACATTTGATAAAGTCACCATTCCGGTTCAGCTTTGACAGCCTGCTTTTATCTGAATTCTAAATCTTAAAAACAGCATACAAAATATACAAAAATATCTCTTCTTCTATGGATATAGTCTTCCTCTCAACGCCCAAGTAGCGCATTCGAAAATCACATCGAATTCGATTTCGATTTCGAACTCGAATTCGTCTTCTAATTCAGACTTCAGATGACTATCTTAGCCAGCTTCCTTTTGACAGCTCCAGCCTATGGATATCCATCGTTTCTATCCCCCAAACAAAATCTATTAGACTCGGACAAATACGATTCCCTCCCACGCAACACGCTGCATGTCCTTGTTCGGTGTTCGGTGTCTGTGTCTGTGTATATGTCTGTGTGTGTGCCGTGTTCTGTACATGTCCTTGCACGTCGCCTGCATTTCTAAGTTTGCACATTTGTTGCCTTTTCTCCTTTTTTGCTCGGCTCTTCTACATATTCACAATTAATATTCAAGCAACCTTTCTGCGCAGTGTCGAAAGTAGATGCCTTACCAAAACACACCCTCCCCCGCACATCCCACACACCCTCAGCCCTCATCATAGAGTTGTCCCCCTTTGCTTTGTAGTTTTTGGCTTCACGCCCGGCCTCTTTTGATGGGGTGCGAATTGGGTTCAGGGTGCGATGCTGATGCTGATGTGGATGTGGATGCTGATGCTGCTTATCCCGAATATCCTGAATGTCCAGAATGTCTCGAGTTCTGTATTCAGTGTCCAATCTAGTTGTGGGTGTGAGTAGAAGGGATATTCTCCGCATTAAGTGTAGACATTATTCATTTTTGATGATGAATTTCCATGTCTCACATGTCTAGGGTTTTTTCTCTCTATCCCCCTCTGCCTGTGTGTGTGTCCAGTAATAAGTAATAAGTGCAGAGTTGAGGCAAGAAAAACCCAGGATGTGTGGAGAGAGGGGGAGGTGTGGGCTGAGGGGGGGGATGGCGTGAGCACATGAAAAAACTTTCAGTTCTGTTGCTGTTTGGCATACAAATGAGTTAAAGTTACAATCCAGCATCCAGCAGCCAGAATCCACTGAACAGTTACAGTTTTACCACCCCCTTCTCCCCCCAATCACCCCACTCCTCCCCCGCTCCCTCTTGTTACTAACGTGAAAGTGAAGTGAAAATGAATGCTTATGGAAAAAGTGTCAGATGAGTGGGAAAAGAGAGGTCAGCGGGGGGGATTTAGTGTTAAAGTAGCGCTATTTTTATAGATATTAGAAAAGACCTTAAAATATGTAAATAACTATTGGAAAAGCTTATGTTATTTTGATTTAGAATATGTCAACTTTCAGCTAAAGATTTACTTATTACAAATATGATTCAAATATCTATTTGACTGTGGACTGTGATAGTTTCAAAAGTATACTAAATATTTAAGTATTAACATTCGTTAATTGAGAGTTAAGTATTATTTAAGTGATGCAATTAAGCATATGAATATTCATCATCAGTAATCAAAAGTACTGCATTAATTTTAACATATTTTCAATTGATTTAAAATCAATTTACTTTCTGATTTCTGATTTTTCCACACATCTTTGGGGTATTTAGAGCTAGTTAAAAATATTTAAATATATTGACAACCAATCACATAAATATATAGAATATTTAGAAAGTCAAGAATGTGTTTTATCAACTGTTTTTACAGGTACAATCATGTCCCACTGTTCGTCTGTTTGTTCCCATATTTTTTCTCAGTTAAAAACCAACTTAAACCAGAATAAAGCATTAGCAACTTTAGAGTCGGCAAGATCAGACTACTATATTATAAAGCGATTTCCTTAAGTCGAGCTTAATTACAATATTATATTATTTTCAATAAATTAGACAGCTCTCACAGTTATTATTCCCAATTATTTAATTTAACCTCAGCTTTTTCTTTTTATTTATCTTTTTTATTTGAAATTAGCCCGTTTCTAAACTCATTAAAATTAAGCACTCGTAAATTGGGCGCTATCTGCACAGAACACGCCCCTTTCATTTAGCAGTGTATCAATGCTGATGTCCAACACACCTACCCACACCTCCGCCCTAAGTTACAACCCTCACACACACACACACACACACACACACACACACACACACACTCACACACACACACATAGAGAGTGGTGCACGCTTGGAACGTGTAAAACTCATAAAACACATTAAATCCAATCGAATAATCGAAATGTCACATTAGTTTCTAAAATATGACCAGACAACACGTAAGAAAATAGTACTATATCCCCCCCACCCCTCCACTCTTCACTCCCTTGCCTCGCCAAGTGGCAAGTTAACGAGAACACAAATGTGCCCAAAAAAAAAGTAGGAGGAAAAGGAAGCCAAAGAAAAACTCTTTTGGAATCGTTTGCGACTTGGATTTCTTGTTTCGCTTGCACTTTCCAGTGCCCATTTTCCTGTTTCTGCTCATTTCCACACAATTTCATATTCAAGCATCAGCAACAGAGTGTACCCTGCCCCTCCCCCTCCCCCTCTCTCTGTCCTTTTTTTATGCGGCCGTGTCCTGTGGGTATAATTTTAATGGTCAAATCGCTGCTGGGGATTTGTCTCCTTGTTTTTGTTTCTTTTTTGCTTTCCTTCTCGAAATGGAAATTGCTTTCCATTCATTGGCGCATTTCCTTGCCATTTTGGCATTGAAAACGCATAAAAATAAACAGTTTTCGCATTTACAACAAAATTCAGCTCTGAGCCGCTAGATTTATGCTCGTCTTCGATATCGGATGAACGAAATACAATTGCCAATTTGGGATTTCTTTGGAATCTGGCATCATTTTAATCTGGCCAAATATTTTTCTCTCGCTTTGTCTTTTTTTACACATTTTTCTACTTTGTTTGCTATGTTTTTAAGCTATTTATTGAAGACGGTTTCATAAATTATACAATCTTTGGTAAGTCTCAGTTAGCCATTTTTATTTGGTTTTGCATTGCGAGTAATTTTTAAGCAGTTCTTTTTCTTAATATTGTGGGACTGAAAAAAACTAAAGCTGCCGTTTTATAATATTCTTATAAATATATATTTACAATTGTTTTGTAATACTCTTTCTAGATTTTAAGCTGGCCCAACTACACAACTTAGAAATACCCTCGAAGCTGCCATAACTTTTAGGAGCTTTCATATTTTGATCATTTTTTGTTCCCTAAATAAATTCTGCAAATTATCAAATTTTCTATTCGAAACCATTGAATATTATGTTGGAGTACAATAAAAACATATCTTTTGCAAAGTTGATAATCTTTTAGACCCAGTTTTAAACTCAAATATTTATTCCGTTTTGCCGTAATAATGATATATAATGTTGTGGTATATCTCTCTCTGATAGACTCCTCTTAATCGACATATTATTGTTAGTATTTTATAATATTAATCGATATTGAATATTGAAATAAATAAATGTAAATAAATTGTACTTGACATAATTTTACTTAAAACTGAATACAATCCTCGATACTTTCTTGTAGAACATCAGTCACTCCACTCCCAGTGATCCTGCCTCTTCCACATTCCAATCCCGCTTGCCACACTTGAGCTGCCGCTCCTCGTCCTGCAATCTGCGAATATAGTTTCGGGTTGCCATCGAGTCGATGCAGCAGACGATACCCTGTAGTTGCTCGCCCAGCTGCTGATCGAACTGATCGATGCGATCATAGACGACGGCAACGACTCCATAACGCTTCAGTTTGCTGCGGACGAGTTCGTCATTGTTGTCGGGTCCCCAGCAAATCAGCTGCATGCGCAGATCCTTGATCAGACCCAGGCTCAAGGGTTGCTTCAGCAGCCAACCGCTGTGCAAATTCAGCCCGAAAAACTCCATAATATATGCAAAATTGGCGGCATTCTCGAAAATGCTAACCCGCTGATCCAAAAACTGGACGGGTTGCTCCGCATGCAGCAGCAACAAGGTGACCGGATACAGATTCTGTTTATAGCGCAACATGACGCAGATATCCGCATCGAAACTGGCAAAGATAATGCGACGCTTGCCCGCCAATCTGAAGACTATCTCCAGTATGGTGTCCACATAGAAATTGCGATCGAAAGTGGGCCGGAAACCATCCCCCTCCCAGCGACGACGACTCACCTGCTGAGGCCACTTTAACTCGATGCAAATGCCAAGTTTGTCGGACAATTCGTGGCTGAAGACATCGCTGAGCAACGGAAATGGCAACTGATCCGTTAAATCACAGTCCGTGCCACATGCATCACTGTTGCTGGCCGCAAAGCGCAGTGGCTGCGCCAGTCTCAGCTGCTCGTAGGTAAATGCCTCGAGGGGCACCACCAGGTGTTGCCCCCGCTTAACACCGCCCATGGCCAACAGTTGCAAGCGATTCAAATGCTCGTGTGGAAAGATCCACACATCATAATCATCATCGAGTAACTTTTCCGCACATGCCGCAGAAGCCAGCGAGAACCTTAAAACATGATCATGATGCACCACAACCTGAGCATCTTGCGTCAAATGCACATCGAGCTCAACGAGATGAGCATCATGCAACGCGGCCTGCTTGAAGGCATACAGGGTATTCTCGCGATGCACATTCGCCGCCAATCGATAAGTATTCCCCGTGCCCCGATGACCGATATCCAAGGCACTTCTCTGCGCCCGCCAATAGCGCTCAAAGCTACAGCTCAAGTTGGAACTGATCGCCGCCAGGGGGCGTATTATCAAGTATCTCAAGCACATCTCAATCAGAGGACGATGCGTTGAGGCACAGCTGATCTTAACACGCAACTGTCCCTCAGAGTCGATCAGCTGTTCTGGCCTTATAAAGCCATAGCCATAGTGATAGGCTGGCTCATCCGCAGCTGCCTTGTGCGCATACGTGTACAGATCGAGACGATATAGGGTCTGCTCGGGATACCTTATGCTGCAGTGATATAGCTGCAGATCGTCGGGACCACAGCGGGAGCCACTCACCGCTTGGTAATGCAAACGTTGGCTGCATTTCAAGTTTGCCACCTCGGCGAAGGCCAGTGCTGTGCTGCGACTGGATTCGCTTGGCAACACTTCTACTGTGGTCAGTCGCAGGGGTTGCTCAACACTGGCGCGCACTCGACACTCGGTCGGCTCCAGTTCGTACATCGGTTGCAGGTGCACGTGCAACAATCTCCGCGGCTGTTGCAGCCAAACAAAAGGTGCATTGAAGATCTTAAATTGTACAATTGTCTCAACGGTTGCCCAGCCCCGATCGATTCGCGATTCCTCGCCGAATTCTGCGTGCTTCCCGAAAATCTCACATAACCTCAAAGTATTGTCACAGGTGCGGATTAGCCTGGGTCTTGGCATTACTTCCCAGTACCGGATAATAATATCCTGCTCGATCAGTGGATCGTAGCCGACGATGCAGTAGCGATATTCGACATCCTTGTTGCGCGGTATGCGCACAGTTGCCCCAAATGTGGGGCAACAACACTGCGACTCACCGTGACATTTTACGGCTTGCATCAGATGTACCCGGTTGGGCTGCCAATTGCCGAGCGCATCACAGTTGCCACTAATTGCAACGCATTCGTTGCCTTGCAGCACCTTCTTCACCTTTACACAGAATGGGAAATCGGTGTATATAATTTCTTTAACTGTATCCTTTTGATTCTGCACTTCCTGCTTGGGTTCGGCATCCTCCGGCTCTAGTGGTGCACACGCCTCCCGCTCTGTGGCAAAGAACCAGCGATGCATTCTCGATTTACTTGGATTTTGGGCTGAAACAGAAATTTCAAAATAAACTTAAAACTTGTCTGCTTATCGATGGGTTACTTTGTTAATATATATAATTCTATATCATTTGTTTAGCTTTATTTATTATATTATTCACTTTATTTATGGGTATTTTTTTAGGGGTTATTCCGATATTTAATTGTATATGCTAAAGTTGTTTAAATTTACTGCGATATCCTTGGCCTGAGAAAGCAGATCATTCTTGATCAGCATTACAAGATGAGATCCTATAAGATATATTTCTGCTTTTGTTGTAGCCAGAGTTGACTGAATGGGATCAGTATATCATACATAGCTTCAATACGCGAAATCGACTGAAAGATATCATTCAAGAAGTTATCTTTTTGGTTAACAACTTATCCTAATTCCTGCACCTTAATCATCAACATAAGACTAATATAACAAATAGATTTCATAGGTGAAAAATGCCTTAAATAACAATTATTTCTTACCTAAAGTCAATTTCAAATTCACAATGAGTATTTAAAAGAGCTGACAGAAAATATAAAGGTAAAAAACAAGCAAAGTTTAAGAAAAGATTTTTGACTTAATTAAAATTAAGTAAATGTTTTAAATTTATACTTCTTTAACATAAAATAAAGGAATTTATATGTTTTAACCAAAAATTATAAAATTGATTTATGTTTTCTGTCCAGAAATAAATTAAGTTGGGTTTTACTCGACACTTTCAATATTCTCCACTCTGGTCGACCTCGACTTGGTCGCTTCTGGTTGTGGAGAGTAAATTCTGAATAGATCATATAAAAGACAATAAACCTGATTTAGATATATTATACACATTATGCATATATATATATATATATATATATATATATATATATATTTATTCCTAATTCTAGCATATTTTTTGAAGTACACGCAAATTCGAAGTAATATCTTAGTCCCAAGCACTGCTCCCCTTCCAAGTGCCACATGCACTTGATATGTTGCCACTGATTGGCAAATTGTGCGGCATATTAAGTATTTAGGATGTGTTCTTCCTCTTCTTATTAGGATTATTATGTGTGTGTTTTTTGTTGTCGGTAATTGTTCCCCCAGGCAAAGTTCAGTCAAACAATTCGAATTCGATTTTCAGTTCATTACTTTTCATAATTCCTGTGGCCCATGTTTTTATTTTTTTTATGCCAACTGTTCAAAAATGCTGGCAGGGTGGTGAAGGGGCTTACAGGTTGGGGGTGGTGGGCGGTGGGCGTTTCTTTCGGGTGGTTTTTTCTTGTTGTATTCCTTGTATTTTTGTGTGCCTTGGCGAAATCTAATTGGACCCGTGTCGTTATATGTTTGACATTTTGCCCTCTAAATGTATAAAATAAAAACCAGAAATAAAAAAAAAATAAGTAAAAAAGAAGAACAGAAAACCGAGAAAACAAAATTCTATTTAAATTGTCAAAATCCGCTTAGGTCCTTCGGCTGCGCCATTTTGTCCTTGGCTGTTTTTGGCCACGTTTCGTGTCGAATTTCGAACAGCTCGCAAATCGAATTGTTTAGTTGAGTTTAGTTTTCCATCTTCTTCTTCCCCGTTTTAAGCTTAAAAGCTACTTAAGTTAAATCAATGATGGCCTCGCATATCCTATAAAAAAAATATGCTAAAATTAAGGAAGGGTCCTTTTTGTATTCGATTTTAAGCGGGAATCGAGCCCAAATTTGTGGAGCTTATAAAATAAAGGATAAATCGTTTATTTAAATATGGGCATATAAAGATAACTATATTCAATTTATTTTGTATTATTTTTTATTTTTATATATTACAGGAGTATAAACGAATTACTGAGAAAATCCTAAATAATTCGATTTTATTTATTCAATTTAATTATTTAAACTATATTTATTTATTAAGCCTTTCCTTACTGATTTTCGGATATTAAATGGACCTAAATTAATTTATTAGAAAATAATTTTTAAATCTAGTAATAAAATGAAAATTATTTTTCTTATGTTTCTGAAGAATTTCCTCACTGTTTGCAAATTTGAGTAATTAAAATAATATTTCTTTATTTGTGATATTTACGAATACAATAAAAATGTATTATTATTAATAAATATGCAAATAGCAGTTAATAACTGAACAAACTAGCTTAAGGGGAACCTTCATATATATTTATGCATATATTTTGTTATATATTTGCTTGCCGAGAAAATTCTAATTTCGCAGCGAGCGCTGTGTGCCGATATTAAATGTGGTTTATTTTTCGTCCAAAATCGATAATATGCAAATATTTCAGGGGAGAACTCACACACACACACACACACACACACACATGTACGAATTGTATCAGCGCATAAAACAAACACAAACGCCTCAAGTCCTTAATACCACCTCCCCTCCCCTCCCCTACCACCCATCCATCCCCCTCGCACACACACACACACACTCATCACACACACACATATAAACTAAATAACTAAATACGCATTAGCATCCTGTCGGATTTTCCTTTATTATTGCTGCGGCGGCGACGCGTGCTAAGAAGAAGACGAAGAAGAAGCAGCAGCAGCATTGGTCGCTAGTTGCACGCGCAGGCAGAACTAAAGCGTTCCGTACAGTGGCATAAGAGTGTGTGAAAAATGTTAACTGCAAATTGCAAAGCAAATATATCAAATTTTGTAAGTGCCTTTGCTTGATGCGATTTATAGCTGCATACAAAGCTCAAGCTTGCTCTTAAATACCACAACAATTTCTCTTTATATGTATATGTTATTATGCGGTTAATTTCCATGCTAAGCGCTTCTGGGAAATTTATCTAGAATTGCCCATTGGGTAATTACGCTCCAGAACTATTTTGGGAAATTTGCTGTTGGAATTTTCGCTCTCCAAAGCAGATCAGCAGAATGGGGAGAAACTCTCCTGATGCTGCTAAGCTTAGCTTAGTAGTTGCGCATTCGTCAAACTCACAAGATTAATGTGAGCGGACGCAAATGGAGATGACGAAGAAGAAGAGCTGCAATTATTACAGTTAGTTGAGTTCGCATAACTGCAGTTGCTGTGTGCGCATGTGTGGACATAACTTTTACATGCATGCGCCACACTGATATGCACATTTAATATATTATTATTATGCAAACTATTAGAAACATTATAGTTCTCTATCTAGATTTCTATAAAATTATCTGATATTAATAATTATATTTATAATAACAATAATAGTAATATTTTCCAATCGACATTGTCCCACTGTGCACGCAAACTTTTCGTAATGGGAAATGGGCGAAAACAGCAACAACACCAACAACAACAGCAAATGTTCAACGAATGTATGCAGAGTGTGACCGAAAGCATTATTAATAGAGAATGTCGGCAACTACCAAACACACACAGACACACACAAGCACACACGCAAAGGATATAAAAGCAATAAGAACATTCATCTTCATAATTATGGGCAGGCAGAGTGAGACAGAGAGAGAGAGAGAGAGAGAGTGAAAGAGAGAGAGGGAGAGGTAGAGGGAGCGTAGGAATTCAAATGCAAAGAGAAAGTTTTGCATACGTCTGTCGTTGAGTGTTTGTTTGTCTTTTTGTGCGTGTGTGTCTGTGTGTGTGTGTGCGTTTGCCTGTCGCTGCTTCCTACTACGCCTACCCCCCCCCCTTCCCTCCTGTCCATGCCCACCCACACCCCTTGCTGAGGGATTTTATGGAAATGACAGTTAAGCTTAGGCCAAACTGGACGCTGGTCACCCTAATGAATGCTGTCCAAGTGTCTATATATTTGCGTGTGTGTGTGTGTGCGTGTGTGTTGCTTACCGGCGTCGAAATGCAATCAAATGGAAATTGTTAAAGAAAGCAAAAATGCGAAACGAGCGAGAAGAACGAGTAAAGGGAAATAACGGGACTTGCCAGGCATAGAAAAATACGCTCGGCTGCCCTTCTAGCTGAGGGTTGCAAGGGAAATTAGAAAGAAATGAGGAGGGGAATTTTTCGGAGGGGTGTGAGGGGTGCACTGTGTATTGGTCTTTTGCACTAATTACGCAGAAAAACATGTCCAGCAAGCTTCGCATTTATTTTCGGGCATTTTTTCATCCTTGCTTGCTTTTTGACAGGTTTCGTTGTTGTTCTTCTTATTCCTCTGCTACGCTGCGTTGCAATTTAAATGTGACTTTGTTGAGGGTTTTTTCCGGGTGAGGGGGTGGGAGGGGTGGCTGCAGTCTTCAAAGGGAAACGTGTCTGAGATTAGATGGGCTTAGTTCTAAGCCAAAGCACGTTCGCTGGTCAGCTGGAAATAAGAAATAATTATTTGAGGGTTGCTTTTGGCGATCATTAGCGTGATTTGTTTTTATATATTGCAAATTGTTTGGGGAAAACCATTCACATTTAACGTGCGATTTATTTCTAATGGAAACTCAACGAAACTTTGAAATGTAACTGAAATGCTGAGCAACCCAATACAATATACAACGGTTGGCGGCGCTGAACGCTTGTGAGCAGTTGCGCAACAGTTGCGCAAACCGAACGCAGCGGTTTAATAACTATCGATAGATCTAAGAGACAGCACATATCGATATGCCACGCATGGCTTGCAATATTTTGCGGACTATTTAAAAGTCCGTAATATATCTATAAATTAAATTAAATTATAAACAACCTGATAATTAACATTAAATGATACTTTACTTTGTTGAATATGTTAAAATTGTTACATTTAAAGTGACAAATAAAGTATTTACAAAATTATTTCTCTATAATTAATTAAATATGCATATGCTTACTTATAAATATGGTAACACTTGTAATATTTGGATGCTGACAATAATAATTTACGATAAAAAAATATCGTTGATAAATTAAAATTTAAAAAAGAAACACCAAACCAAGCACAAGTGTTGCAAAATCTGCAAAATATACTCAATTGTTGGGAAATTTGCGAGAATTGCTTGGTCCCCTTTCGAGTTCTTGGAATATTTTTGCAGTTTCGATTGAGCGGTCACACTGCGCGTAGAGTCAGTGTTGCAATGCAGCGAGCGTGTATCGCCCGACCGCCACAAATTG